ATTAAAAATAAAAACAGTTCTAGGCTTCAATCACAGTACCAAAAAAAAAAAAAAAAAAGGGTGGTGGTGTTGGTGGTGGTTTAGACAGATTTTTATCTAATCCACAAAATAGATTCTAGTTCTTTATTAAAGATTAAACAAAAATGAATTTGCTTTAGGAAAGGTACTCATGTCCTCTTCACAGGAGAAAGGGAAGGTTGTAAATCTGGCTTTTGCGTTTTCACAACAAAGAATCTCCTCATATTCTCTCTGATTTTATGGTTGACCAACTCTGTCCTTTATTGTTCCCTGATAAAAAGGAAAAAAACAAAAGAAAATAATGTAAAGATTTTTTATTTCATTTCAACACAAAAGAAATTCCTTATCAGTGAAGAAGGAACTTAATTCCTTTGGGTAAGAGTTGAGGAAGAAGATGGAGAAAAGAGACTGATTAAATGAACACTTACTTGGACAATACAACAGAGAATCTTTAAGCTCCAAAATTAGTTTGTGGGCCTRTCTTGAATGGAGCATGTTTTCACATTGCTTTCCACCCTTTTAGACTCACATGCACAGAGTTGCAGAACTGTGGAGGAGTCTGGCAGTCCTGGAGTGGAACTGTCCTGCAGAGGGAGAGATGTCCTAGGAGGTTCAGTCTAGACTATTGCACGGGGCTCCCAAGTCTGTTCTGGAAAGCCTTTAGCAGTTTTTAGAAATCCAGTCAGGCAAACCAAGTATTCAGAATCTCAGAGCACCTGCCTTTCACGACTATTTGACCAGTGTCACGTCTATATTTCTTGAGTCATATTTTGCCTGTTTTCATCAGCTGCTTTCTTTATAGCTCTGATTAAGAAAAAAAAAAAAACACTGCCAAGAGAGTTGAAGAAAAATTTTAACCTCAAGGGAAATCCCACTCCAAAGTATTTCCCTGATGGGACCTTCCCTCCCCAAATCCTCATTATTTTGTTTTGAGAGAGAGCACACAACATTTCTAGTTGATCACTGGAAATGGGGCTGTGGGGTATGAATCAGTATAGATTTGAAAGACCTTGAATTTCTTAAAGGTTTTATAAGGTCTCTATTCATCCTCCCCACATGCTCATGGAGATTTCTCTGCTATCTCCTTCAGGTTTCTATTCATATGAGGTCTCTCTCAATGGTCCCTCTTTTCTATTTTATTTCTCTTAATAGTACTTAACACCATCTGACATACTATATTTACTTGTTGGCTTATTGTTTGCCTTCCTTTTCTAGAATGTAGCTCCATGAGAGGTGGGGGTTTTCCTCCTCTCTCTAGAATCCCAAATACTACTGGTGCAGGGTTTTGCACATAGTAGGTTCTTTTCTTTTTCCTTTCTTCTTTTGGTACTGGGGATTGAATCCAGGGGCTCTCAATCGCTGAGCCACATCCCMARCCCTTTTTTGGTATTTTATTTAGAGACAGGGTCTCACTGAATTGCTTAGGGTCTCACTAAGTTGTTGAGGMTGGATTTTGTGATCCTCCTGTCTTGGCCTCCGAAGCGGCTGGGATTATAGGCATGTGCCACCATGCCTGGCCATAGTAGTGTACAGGGCTTTGTACACACAAGACAAGTACTCTACCAAYTGAACTATATCCCCAGCCCCATAGTATGTCCTTGATAGACACTTTTTWAAAATTATTTCAACAGTGTCTTCGTAAGTTGCTGAGGGTCTTATTAAATTTATCAGGCTGGCCTTGAACTTGGGGTTCTCCTGCCTCAGGCTCCCAAGTCTGGCTTAATATATACTTCTGAATGAATTAACAGGGGAAACTGCCATACATACTAAATGCTGTGGGTATAAAACAACAACAGCACCAGCAATAACAACTGTGGCTTCACCTTTGAGTTACCTGGAGTATATTTGATATAAAATTGAGTCTCATAAGCATGCTGTGGTACGGATAGTACATGCCAGGGTGGAGAGCCAGTTATTTTACAAAAGTTATTGTTACCTAAGGAATATTGGAAATTTGGCTACAAGTGAAGAATGAGAACATGGAGTGTGATATAAGCTTCTGGAACCTTCACTGTAAGATGATGGAACTGGAGAAAGACTGGATGATTTCTTTCTTTCTTCTTCTTTTTTTTTGGTTGGGATTGAACTCAGGGGCACTCGGCCACTGAGCCACATCCCCAGCCCTATTTTGACAGAGTCTCACTGAGTTGCTTAGTGCCTTGCTTTTGCTGAGGCTGGCTTTGAACTAGTGATCCATCCTGAGCACTTGGGACCCGGCAGATTGGGTGATTTCTAAAGTTCCTTTAAAATTTTATTTATTTATTTTTTTGATACTAGGGATTGAACCCTGGGGCACTCTACCACTGAGCTACATCCTTAGCTCTTTTTGTTTTTTACTTTGAGACAGTCTCACTAAGTTGCTGGACTCAAATTGAGATCCTCCTGCCTCAGTCTCTGGAGTCACCTAGATTACAGGCATGCACCATGGCTTCCAGCCTTAAGGTTCTTTTTTTTTTTTTTTGTATTTTTTTTGGTGGTGGGAATTTAACCTATAGTTTTCCACTATTCTAGTCAAGTGCTCTACCATTGAACTATAACCCAGTCCTCTCAAGTTCTTAATTCATTACTAAGGAATAAAAATGTGTGTGTGTGTGTGTGTGTGTGTGTGTGTGTGTGTAAAGTTGCAATGCTGCACCTTGCCACAAGATGGCAGTAACATCCTTATTAAAACCTTATGTTCTCCAAGTTGAAGTTAATAGAAATAAATCCAGAGAATTCATTAGAGGTACAAATTATTTTAGTCAAGATACCATATGTTAGCATCCACTAATTTTGGAAAACTATATTTCAGAGAGAGTTAACTTCAATTTGTAATATTTGAAAAATACTTTGAAATATACAGTTCCTTCTCTCTTCCCTCCCATCTTTTTTCTGCCTTCCTCATTCTTCTCTTCCTTTTTTTTTCTTTCATGTTTTCATTTTAGTGCATGAAAACATTTCTTTTTTTGTTTTTTTTTTGTCCAACACTTTGATAGTATTTTATTTCAAACTCTGATCTCTACCCAGTGATTACAAAAGAATGTTGCCTATTAGCTCCCATAGTCTCTGCTGTGAAAAAAAGTATCAGATGTTTGTTCAGTGAAACATATTGTCTTTCATCTAGACTCAGAAACTAGACATATGATTTTAAAAAGAAAAAGGGTCCATGGCTATGCATACTAGCCAATGACCTGGGCCCAGCCATCAGACATGGTTGTAAGGATGAATCTGCTCAAAAGATCCAAGCAAGGCAGGAGGAAACAGGGGTGGTCTGAAAGAGATGGATGACTTCACAGCGTCCAGCATCATCATCACCAGTGCTTTACCCCAAGAGTCATTTTTGTCGTGAGGCTAGCTGAGACTTATGGTCCTCTCTTTGTGCCTCTTCACATTTTTCCAAAGGTTCCAGCTGGGGGCCAGGAATCATCACCATCTTAAGGTTGGGCTGCTTAGGGGGCGCCCATGGGGGAACAATCTTGCCATGCATTCTCCAGCTCCCATAGGGGTTCAGCAGGTGTTTTTCAAACACAATATACTCCAAGACATCCTTGGGCACATCTTCTTGTCTATACATCAACCGCCCAAACCGATCATAGATGGCTAGAGTCTGCTGTGTGTGCATGCAGACAGTAACCTGGCCACACATGTTGCTCTGGTTCACCAAACTCGAGCAGCGAACCTGCACCACCTGGGCCGGCTCTAAAGATTCCATGAAGCCCCAGCGGACAGTCTTATACTCGATGTCCCAGACCATATCCGGAAAACACTGTTCAGTTACCAAAGTGTGAAGCCGGTCATGGTCTGAGTTGTTTAGACAAAGATGAGCTTCTATGAAAATATCCTTAGCTTTTTCAGGGAAGTCCTTTGTTTTAAAATTAGCATCAAATTCTTTTATCTTCCGGATTGACAATTGTGATGCTGCATTTTTCTTCAATCGCTCAGTTCTCTGTTTCAGTCCTTCCTTTGAAAGAGATGACATTCGAGCCTCACCCTCAGGAGGAACATAAGCATCAAAGATACCAGCTGTACAGGCCACATGTATGGGCCAATCCAAACGTTTTGGGGGAATAACCAATCCTGCTTTCCGGGCATATGCTATAAACTCCTTTTCTGTTTTGTATTTGGGTTCATAAGCAGGAGGTGGGAAACGTTTTTTAGTTCTTACTGGAACTACAGCTGTAGACTGAGTCATCAAGAGTGACTGCGGAGACCATCATCCCAAAGCTTTGGATAAGCAAGACAACCTCCCAGGCACGGGGGCTGCCATTTTGTTCACTCAAAAAGCCATGAAAACATTTCAAGTCAAACAAAACAGAGATGTGCAAGAAAAGGTTAATATTTTCACCATTCTTTTAATTCAACCCTCCAAAGTAACTAATATTCTCCATTTCTTTCTCTATAGTCATACATCTATACATATACATGTGTGTATATATATACACACACATATATATATACATATGGATACATATACATGTACATATATATTTTTTCTTTTGACCTTTAATTAGTATCTGATCTTCTGTTTGGAGATAAAATTAGACAGTTGAAAACCTTTCCAACTCTTTCCTACTGTCACAAATAATGATTATGATAACAAGAACACCACCACAAACATACACAGTATGTTCAAAACCCACTACCACTGCACCTCTGTTTTTACTTTCTCCTGTTTTTGGAAAAGAAACACTTAGTATGAGAAAATCGACTATTTCTACCTTTGCTTTATGTTCCCATTTGTCTTCTCTGTTCTTTATACGCAATTCTGTTTTTTAATCTTCACCAGAATCACTTGGATTAAAACCCATGGGTTGGGCAGTTGGAAATGTTCATGGGAAGAGAATCCTGCAGGACCCCACAGCTGCTCCTGTGGAGGAAGCTTGAAGCCACCCCTCAGGTAAGCAGCTCCTCCCCTGTGTCCCTCTGGGCTTCACCAGGTGGAGCTTCCCTCCCTCTCTCACAGAGAGGGTTTGTCTTCTGCAGCTGCCAGGAGGCTGTGCCAGGCTGGTGGTGTCCTGCAGCCGATGTGGGGAATTTTCCTTTTTCATGTTTCCCTGCTGGTGGGAGGTAAGCCTGAACTTAAGAGCAAACACAGCTGGCAGTTTTCAAGTAATTTTCTTCCAGTTAAATGATTGCAACTTCTAACTTTCGTAACAAAGAATCTTTCCCGCTAGACTTATGAGGATATTCCAATTATTATGGAATATTTAATAATAACTATTGCTGTTGCTACTTCTTTTACTGTTTCTATCCAAGCAATTCCCTTGTCAGTGGCAGCTTTTCTGTGACCACAGGGAAGCACCGGTTTTTGATAACCACGTGGCTTCCAGGAGTGCTGTCCTGGTAACAGTCTTGGTTCCCCTCACAGGTGCTGCAGGACAAASTGTCGAGCAGCCCACTGAGYTGAACGCTGTGGAAGGAGCCTTCATCCAGGTCAACTGCACGTACCAGACATCTGGGTTCAACGGGCTGTCCTGGTACCAGCAACGTGAGGGCGGAGCACCCATGTTTCTCTCTTACAATGTTCTGGATGGTGTGGAGAGGAGAGGCCGTTTTTCTACATTCCTGAGTCGGTCTGATGGGCACAGTTACCTTCTCCTGAGTGAGCTCCAGGTGCAGGACTCTGCCTCTTATGTGTGTGCTGTGAGAGACACAATGGTTATGTGGCCTCTGAGGCTGCACCAAAATCCAGGGGCCACATCAGTGAGAAATTGTATTTCCTGTGTATGTCTGCTGTGAATTAAATCTTTGGAACTAGATATGAGGATCTGAGTTTGCCACTTTCTTTTTTTTTTAATTTATTTTTTATTTGTAGATGGATACAATGCCTTTATTTTATTTATTTATCTTTATGTGATGCTGAGGATCAAACCCAGTGCCTCACATGTGCTAAGCAAGCTCTCTACTACTGAGCCACAACCCCAGCCCCTGAGTTTGCCACTTTCAAACCTGCTGGTAGCTTTACACAAGTCACTTTTTTTCTATTTTTTTTCTTATTTATAAAACGGGAATAATATTACTGCCTCATAGGGTTGTTATGATTAATGAATCTGTATATGTATATTTTCTGTGACTTAGAACAGCGCAGGAAGATAGAGACTCTGAAATTGTTATTTTACTTCTAGTGTTGAACTCTGTGTTATGTGGCAGGGCACTGGTACACGATCTCAGTATTTCTCTACCCTTTGTTCTCTACCCTGAAAACGATTTGTATCTTGTGGATCTCAGGCTGCAGCATGGCGTTTGTCTATGGGCAGATTTTCTGTTCTGGAGGAATCCCTGTGGGAAATTTCTTTGGGGAAATACTCAACTTTGGATACCAAAATGCAAATATTTCAGAATAAGATGTGAAGTATTCGGATTAATTATTTAAGGCTATCTTCATTACACATATTCTTGAAAAATAAATATGATCTTTACATATTTTGGAAGTTTATATGTTAGGCTAGAAGTGAGGTTTAGGGGCTTTATACTTGAGTATGGACATAATCGAGAGAATCTATAGATGACTGGTAAAAAGAATAAGTATAAGCAACATAGGGCAACTCAGGGTGATGAAGGCGTCACTAGGGGATTCCTATGACTAGGCAGAGTCAACAGCATTAGGAACAGTAAAAATCTGTAGTAAACTTTAACATTTTATTTTCCTGATTTGTAATTCCTTTATTCATCTTCAAATCTCAGTGAAGTTTGTTAAATGTTTTGGCCTACTTTAAGCTACATTTAGAGAACAAATGATTTCTGTGGAGGTTGTTTCCATAGGTGATAAAACTGATCACATAATAAAAATCTTATATTGTAGGTTGTTTGGATGTGAAAAGTTAGGAACACCCCAAGTTAACCTAAGGGATAGTTACTCTTGTGTTATATATAAAATTTTGAAATTGAAGATTAAATAAAGCCAGGCATGGTGGTGCATGCCTATAATCCAAGCTGCTCCAGAGGCTGAGGCAGGAGGACCACAGGTTCAAAGCCAGCCTCAGCAACATAGCAAGACTCTGTCTAAAAAAACAAAAACAAAACAAAACAAAAAAAAACCCAAAACAAAACAACAACAACAACAACGACAACAACAACAACAAAAACCCAAAAAGGATTGGTGATGTTGTTCAGTGGTTAAGCACTCCTGGATTCAATTTCTGGTACAAAAAAAATCTCTCTTTGGGTAAGTTGGGAGGGATTTTTCATTTAAAATATAAGATTGACTTTCAGATGGAATTTGAATGGGCATAAGTTGAAAATCAATCTGATAATATGGGTCAAGGCCATAAAGATTCATTTTACTTTTCTTTTAATTGATTTAATTACGAAAAAGTATTTTATTTAGAAGTTATTAGATTCATTTTTCTTTTACCTGGTATTTCCATGTTTGAGCTGTCAAAGATATACAGGCTAGAAATGATATTTAGAGGCTTGCAACTTGGTGAGTATGGAGTGTTACTATAGTAGCATTATATTCGTTAGGTCAATATATGAACAACATTTTCATGTACGTTATGATGAATAGAACACTTTAGAGCTGACTTGGTTTCTACTGCTGCATAACAAGTCACCATGATATCCATTCTGTAGCTGGTGGTTCTTCAAGTCATGATTCCACATGGTGCAGCTGGTCCTGTGCTTAGGTTATCACAAGGCTAAACTCAAAGTGTTGATTGGCTGAATTCTCGGGTCAGGCTCAGGATCCTCTTCCATGTTCATTTCTATTACTATCAGAATTCTGTACCTTGCAGCTATGGGACTGAAGTACCCATTCCTTGCTTTTTTGTGGTCTGGGGGCATCTTTGAGCTCTTTAAGGGCACCTGCATTCCTTCCATGTGATTCTCACCATCACAGAACCAGCAACAGCAAGTCAAATCCGTTTCCCATGGAATCTTTCTGGCTTTATCTTCTGCTACTGGACAAAGTGCATGTGTTTCTAAGTCTCCTGTGACTGGGCAAAGCATATGTAGATAGCTCCCTTTTCAAAGGTCAACTGTGCCATGTGACACTACATAATCATCAGAGTGCTATTTAATTATATTCAAGACTGTGGGGATGAGGGCATGGAATTTTGGACTGTTCCTTAAAATTCTCCCTACCATACAGTCAATAAATGAATAAAAACCCTAATGTCAAAAACTGCTTATGATAAAACAATGAATCAAGAACTGGGTGCATAATTGCATATAAGGAATGATCATTGTGGTGTAAAAACTTTTAAGCCTAGGAAAACATAGAAATGAATGACAACACTCCATTGCATTTCCCTTACTTTAAGTCTTAGTATGTGTAGATGGATCTCCCTCTCTCTCTGAGAGTGTCTTAGGTTAGGATCTTCAAAAGTAGACCCCAAGGCTGGTGTTTGAGTACAGTAGTTATTTGAGAGGTAACACTGGCAGAAGAGTAGGGAAGTGAGGTGAGGTGGAGAAGGAAAGGAAGCCAGCAAAGTATACATTATCAAGGTTACTTCTGTGGACAACTAGAACTAACCCTGCTAGAAAATTCTGAAGCCAGTAGAACATAAGCTTAGAGTTACTCTGCTAGAAGGATAGGAAAACTGGGATATTTATCCACTGTATTAGTTAGCTACTACTGCAAAAGAAATGACCTCAAACATGGTGTCTGATTTAGTCAACTTTTTTGCTGCTGTGACTAAAAGACCTGACAAGAACAATTTTAAGGAGGAATAGTTTATTTGGGGGCTCATGATTTCAGAGGTCTCAATCCATAGACAGCCAGCTCCATTCCTTGGAGCTTGAAGTGAGGCTCAAAGTGGTGGAAGATGTGGCAGAGAAAAGTAGCTCACATGATGATCAGGAAGCAGAGAAAGACTCCACTTTCCAGATACAAAATATATACCCCAAAGGCATGCCCACAAAGCTCATCTTCTCTAGCCACAACCTACCTGCCTTCAGTTAACCCCATTCAGGATTAATTCACTAATTGGGTTAAGGCTCTCATAACCCACCCAATCATTTCTCCTCTAAACCTTCTTGCATTTTTTTGCACATGAGAGTTTGGGGGATACCTCATATCTGAACCATAACAGTGTCTAAACATTAGTTAACAAATACTTATTTTCTTATAAGTTCTATGGGTCAGGAATTTGGGAACAGCTGAGCTGGGTAGTGTTGGCTCTGAGGTTTTTTTTTTTTTGGGGGTGGGGGTGGGGGTGGGAAAGTGATGGGGATTGAATCCAGGGCCTTGCACATGCTGAGCATGCACTCTAACCCTTAGCCACACCCACCCCCTGGCTCAGAGTTTTTACAAAGTTTCAGTCAAGTCAAAATCATCTAAAGGCTTGACTACGATTAGAGGATGCACGCCTAGGTGTTTCACTCACATGATTGTTGACAAGAGGCCTCAGCTTTTTATCACATGAATCTCTACAGTGTGTCTTTAGGACACACTGTCTGGCTTCTCCCAGAGAGAGTAATCTGAGGGAGAGAGGGAGGGAGAGGGAGAGGAAGTGAGGGAGAGGGAGAGGGAGGGAGGGAAACTTGTATCTTTTATAATTTAGCCTCAGTTGTGTCATATAGTCCCTTCTCCTGTATTCTATTGGTCAGACAAACCTGGAATGATACATTCATAGGGGATTACCAGCAAGAATTCCAGAGTTGATGGAAATAATTGGAGTCATCTTGTTGATTGGCTCCTTTTTTTATTTGGGGGAAGGGTCTTGCTATGTTTCCCAGGCCAGCCTCAAAGTGGCCATCCTCTTGATTCAACCTTCCCAAATAGCTGGGATTACAGATGTGCATCACTGCACCCAGTTAACTGTTTACTATTTACCAACTTTCTTTGAGATGGTATCTTGCTCTTTCCCAGGCTGGTCCTAGACTAGAGGGATCCTTTCCTCCTCAACCCCCAAGTAGGCAAACTACAGGTATACACCACCATGCCTGGCTACATTTACCAACGTTTGCCAGTAATTATTTGAAAGGGTCTCATTAGGTATATAAGTTTTCTAGTATTTAGGTTTATGATGCTTATGATTCCCACCATCTTGGAACCAGCAAAAACAAACAAACAAACAAACAAACAAACAAGCTCTAGTTGCCAGAAAGAGCCCTTGGGAAGAGTTGCAGGTGGAGTTTGGATCAGTGTTTTCATGCATAAAAAATGCTCATGGGTTAGATGTGGAAGGGCTCAGTTTTTTGTGCTGCTTTGATAAACACATGTCCAGCATTATATTCATTCTGTTTTGTCATTGATTCCTCAAGGTAGTAACTGATTACAGTTTCTAAAAAACAAACAAACAAAAAACCCAAAACCTGAACAACAACAAAAACAACCCACCTGAAACAAGAGAGTTAGTAAGACAAGTACATCCTTGTTGCTGCGGTTGGTTCCCAAACCGTTATTGTGATTCATTGTCTCCTTCCTGAATCAAAACTTTTTCTAGATTCCCTCACATGCTCAGCATTTCTGCTGGTCTTGGTTTCTTGCTTAGTGGGTAACCCAGACTATCATGACTGAAGGGCCTACGTCCTTGGTTATCATGTGCTTTTCACACCTTAATTGATGCCTTAATTGATGCAATTGCCTGTTTACTAGGCACAAAAACACCAAGATATGTCCCTGTGAATCCCACGTTCCAGCCACATTTCTTTCTACCTTCTTTATATTGTAGCAATTCTATGTACTTATGATACTCCCAATTACCTCTGCCAGTATAGTTTTGCCATATTTGGGAGGTTTGAAGCCATTGTTTCTTATACTTTTTCAGTCCTACTCTTTCTCCTCTAATTCTGGG